TGTTCCTTCTGATATTCAAAATTAAAACTCAACTAACACAAATTGTTACCAGTATTTTTCGTTGCCACCACTCATCAGAGGCCAACACCCTATTTGTGGCTGCATCATAACCAATGCCAGTCTCCCCAGACATCAGTTTTTCCCACAACTTCCAATCTTTTCTCAATACATCAAATCTGTTCTTCAGTTGCCTCTTGTCATACATTTTCCCGCTCCTTTCCCGAAAATTCTTTTCAATTTTCCCCTAACCAGGTCTTGTAAATGATGTTCCTTGTCTTTCTTTGTGCACTATTTGCTCTTAGAATTTTTGTCGTGTAATGATCCCATGTCGCTTTTCCCCTGTCATTATCCATTTCTCTATGCCCTTTAATCGAGATAAGAGTAACTAAATCAACCAAAGTCCTAAATATGTAATAATAAAAGCTGTATTATATAACACATACGTTGTAACCAAACAAACATATATCACCAAGTAACACATTTTAATTGCATAAGCTGTTTAGTTTTCTTATTCGATATTTTTTAAAATTATAAATATATAATCACAATGTCAATGTCCACTATTTTCCGGTGGTAATTGATTGTGAACATTTTAAAATTAAATTTTCAATATATCATATAAATTGAACCTAAACTGCATTACATTGATTAATTTTTATCCTAATTTAACTATGCAAGAGTAAAATAAAAACCAAATTAAGAATGATGAACAAGATTATTTACAAAAATATGTTATATTTATCATAATTAACTAATTTACCTAACTTTTTTAATATAATTAAATTAGTTAAATAAATATCATATTAGAGAGAAGTAAGAGAATATAACAGGAGAAAGAACAACATTAAATTTATTTTGATTGAGACTTCCCGAAATTAATTCCAAATGATTTTTAAGTAATTACCCACATAGTCCTTAATTTCTTTGTATAGTACAAATTAATGTCTTATTACTTTGCTCTATCAACGCCGTTAATTAGCTCTATCAAATGAACCATTCGGACACACATATATACACATACATACACCATGTTACCACCTCATTCTCTTCTACCCTACCCTCATAGAGATCGAATCCTATAACCATAAAAACCAAGAGACCAAAGCTAAGGACATGCAAAACAACAACCATTGTAATTTTGAAAATTACAATTCTAGAGTTACATATCTCGCCATTAACAACATAGACATATACACAACAATTTAAATCCCCAACACTGCACACCCAAGCTTTCGGTCATATACACACATTTATGCTCTTCATTTTCTCATTAAGCTAGAGCCGTTTCCTTGAACCATTAATCGTTGTTTCAGCCTTGGAAAACAGAGGAAGAAAATCGATATGCAACTAGAAATTTTATGCTACATTCGGTCCCTATTTCGGTGTCACAACTAGTCGGTCCTCAACATGCATCAATCATTAACAAATCTGAATTCAAGCACGATAGGAAATTCAAGGACGACAAGAAATTCAAGGAGGACAACAAATTCAAAAACGACCGGGGATCAAACCGGAAAAGCGACATAACCGGCCAACCTGCAGTAGATCCAACCAAACAAAGGCTGCCAGAGGTAGATCCAACGGTATATTGCACTGGGAAGCCAAGATCTCCACGCACGGCTCAAATGCAGAGGCAAACGGCAGCGACGTCGGTTGTAGACGGTGAGAGCAGCTCCGACTTGTGATGAACGAACGGCATCCACCAAGCCACGGACACCTCACACCCAACAGCTGACCTCACAATGATGACGGGACGGAGCTCACGGTCACCAGTGACGAGCTTCTCAGACCCGACCACCGACGGACATTCTCGAGCCGAGCAGAGACGGAGCAAGCTGGGAGCTCGGGTTTACAAAAAGAAAAGAGAGTCACGAGGGAATAAAAGAAGGCAGATGTGAAGAGAAAAATAAAAGGAATCCTGTCAGAACGGTCATAAGCCATTTTCCCAGGGGCCAGAAGCTGCCAGGCACCAGCTTATCCCAATCGTGCGTTCAGTGGGTTAAAAAATGATAAGCCCAATTGTTATATTGCTCTGCCAAACGGACCAATTTTTTCACTGAGCTTATAAGTGATTATAAGCCACGTTTGGGCCAGCAAACGCTGACCCAAACAGGCATGATGTAGGGTCAGGTTGAAGTGGTCCCAAAGGGTGAGGACCAATGACATTTCCTCTTGGATATTATTTCACTTTTCCTCCAAATATAAACAAGAAAAAGTGACAAAAAAAACACAGAAATTTAAAATTACTAAATCTTAAATTAGGTTTAATAATAATATTTTATTTGATGTTAATAATATTAAATTTGTAAATAATAAAAAAAATTTGTTGATATTTTTATTTAACACTTACTAATTTTTAGCTTTTTTTTCATTTTCTTGATAAATAAATTTGGTATATTGCATGAAATTTAAATATGCAATCTGTTTTTTTTAATATCGAGGATTAAGGAAAGAGCATTGTTTCAAGTTAAGTATGCAGTCTTGGTGCTTGTAAATGCTAAAGAAAAAATGTTGGCAAAAAATTGCTAATGAAAAATTTCAAGGGAGGAGATTATTTTAGGAAAAAATAGTCAATATTTATTCAAAATGAATGTACTATTTTTGATATCAGTGGCGAATATTAAAACATTATACAAATTTTATGTTCCATATGGTTGTTAATATTTTTTTTAGCTATAATTCATGCATCTATTAAATTCTATGTTAAAAATTTGAACTTACAAACTTATGCTTTAACAAAGTAAAAAATATTTAGTGTCAATTGGGTCGTAAAATGATTGGTGAACAAGAAAAAATGAGGTTATAAAATCATGATATATAATGGGTTCGTTTGATTTAGCGGTAAAAAAAGTAATGACTTTAAAAAAAATCAAATTGAGTAATGTCATTTATGCTTAGATTGACTTTTGTAAAATTTAACTTGTAAAGTGAAAAAGTTATTTGAATTATGATTGAATAAGTAAGTTTAGTTTGTAAAATAACCAAAATATATATGAATTTTATTAAATAATAAAAATGATTAAAAATATGAACTTACAAAATATAATAATTTTAAATTACTATAATAGGAAAAATTTATATTTAATGAATAAAATATATTTAAATTAGAAATCATAGTAATGTGAAAATTTTTAAACCAAATAATATTACATAATTAATTGGATGATATAATATGCATAATTTATGTAAATGTAAATAAACAAATAATATTAAGAATTAAAAATATTATAAAAATTATTTTTACTCAACATAATATTAAAAATAAATAACTAAAAACTGATTGGAAGCACAAAGAATATATAAATAGAAGTATAAAAATAACATAAACATAAGAGCAAAAACCTACTTTTACATAAGTCATAAGCTTGCAATCGTGCTTAAAAAAACAGCTTTTAATTTATAAGTCATATTAGCTAAAAGATGTAACAAACAGTTCTTAAATTTACAAACTGACTTATCGCACTTATAAGCTATTTTCCCCCCTCAAAATGCCTTACCAAATAGGCTGAATAACTTTTTTTTTTTGAGACAAAGACGAAATAGGCTGAATAACTAATACCATATTTGTAGGTTAACTGGACATGCCACATAAAAAGTAAATTTTACTTTTATAGGAGATTGATGATGATAAGATTAATTATATAAAAAGTGATGAAATTGATAGAAATGTTAATCATGGAATTTATGTTGGGTGATTTAAGTAGGGAAAAACTATTGAGTTATTTGTGACCAAGAAATACCTAATAAGGTAAAAGAATACTGCGTCGTTACAAGGCCATTAATACCATATGATAGTGAATGATAGGTTTTAAAGGGATAGCATAGGCATAGAGTAAGAATAGTTTACTAATCTCACATATCTAAAAATGTTGAAGTCATATATGAGCCCCATCATATCATAGTATATAAAGGAATGAAAGAACACGCAAATCAATTTGCCGACCATGACTGTGCCACTGGGAACCCTGATTTGTGAAGAAAAAACTTTAATTTATTTGTTTTCACTTTGGATGAATTCATGTAAAGTTAAAAGAATTAAACCCTATGATTAAGGGTGTGTTTGAATGAAACCAAATTATGGTTTGGAGAATAGTTTCTGGATAATAGATTCTGAAAAAAATAGATTTTGTGAAGAATAGATTTTATGAAAAAGTGATTCTGAGAAGTAAGAATATTTGGATAGTTATTATCAGAAGCACTTTTTATATGTACAAATTATTAAAAAAAGCATAAGTTAATATGATAATTACATAAAACATAGATTGTATGATATATTTTAATTTGAAGGAATAAAATTGTTAATAATATATTTTTTACCAACATAATTAATAATACATAAGATAATATAATTAATAAATAATTAATATGTGTATATTTATTTATAAGATATAAGATTAAATATGTTTATAAAAAATTAATTAAGGGGTGTTAAAGTCATATTATTATTGAGATTTACTCTAATAGGCACAATCATACTCTCCAATTTGAGCCAGAAGCAGAATGGATTCACTTCTCTTGAAACCATGGTTTTAGGTTCCAAAACCATGGTTTCGACCTAAACCATGGTTTCAGATAATTTGTGCCTGTTTGAGTTTTTTTTCCCCCAAACCATGATCTGGCCTGCTATCCAAACAGGGCCTAAGACTAGAACCGGGCAACTCGAGATAAAATTCCTCCTATCTTAAAATTTGTAAGATAATAACTTGAGATAAAATTCCTCCTGTCTTAAAATTTGTAAGATAATCCAAATATTATTCTGATCTTAAATATAAGACTCTTTTATTAGTATAATTTATACTAACAAAAAAGTTTTATATTTATAACGGGATGAGTACTTTTTTTGCCCTCTATTTGAATTCAGGCTTTTGCTAATCGCCATGTTCTAAACAAAAGTTTATGTATGCCCGACGGTAGACCCGGAAACAGTTACTTGACCCGTTAACAATTGCTCCACGGGTCAACCGCACTCTTCTTCAACCCCTGCTAAACCCTGGAGCAAAAAGAAACGGCAGTTGCTCAACCTCCGCCTCCAACAATGGCTCCCGGTTTTGTATTCGAAGCTCCCAGTGACGAAGAAATTGAGCGCTCTGATTCTGAAGGCGAGGAACAGGAACAAAGCCAAGAAGAGGAAGCAGAAGAGCAGAGTGATTCTGATAATGAAGATCACGTCGGAGAAGGAGAAGACGAAGAAGAACAAGAAGAAGAAAGACCACGAGTTTCAAATAAAAAATCTCAATCCGCATGGGACTTCTCGAAGTACACCGAATCAGTGGCGGAGGAACATGCCCGACGAAGCACAACCTCAGTGGATCAGAAAATTGCCAAAGCCATTAAAGAACGCTCCACTCCGCTCAGAAAGCCCGTCGAAGACGACCAGGAGAGCTCGGAGTCCGAATCCGACAAACAAGTAACGGGCTTTTCGGTTTTTGATATTCATTTCTCTCACCACTGATGGAAGCTTGTGCTTATTCTGGAGGAATTTTCTTCTGTTTCATTTAGGAGGATTATAGACCAGAAGAGGAAGAAGATGAAGGCGGCAATGCAGACGAGAGCAAGTCTTTCTTCGCGCCATCTGACGGTGCTTCTTTTCATGCTGATTCATTCATGGAACTTAATTTGTCGCGTCCTTTGCTCCGGGCTTGTGAGGCCCTAGGATATGTTAAACCGACACCAATTCAGGTTTCTGCGTTACTTTAGCCATTTTATCTCTCATTTGTTTTTAGTTCTTTGCGTTATGCGAAGTACTTCTTTGCTTACGTGGGGGATACTTAGTTTTTGAAATTTGATTGTAGGCAGCGTGTATACCACTTGCATTGACTGGTCGTGATATATGTGGAAGTGCCATTACCGGTTCTGGGAAGGTAGTCTATCAGTTCGTTTTGGAATCATTCCATAAATGCTATGTTTAAGACTCTGAACTGTATGATGCTACTAAGTACTAACAAGCTGTTATGGAGGCTGAAATTGTGCCCGAAGAAAAAAATTGTGTGATAAATTTCTTTAGCCTATATTTCTGTGATTGTTTTCCCTCACAGACTGCTGCATTCTCACTGCCTACGCTGGAGAGGCTTCTATATCGTCCCAAACGTGTGCAGGCCATAAGAGTCCTCATTCTTACTCCAACCAGAGAATTGGCGGTCCAGTAAGTATTCTCATGGATGTTTTTGGCTTGCTTTTATTACGTAGAAGAATTTCAAGTTTGTGGCTTTACTTAACAGAATAACGGAGGAAGTCTGGGACCAATAGCCAGACTAGAGGCGTGGAAGGAGAGCACTTAGTTTACTGTTTTGCTGGGTATGCTGCATGCCTTCTGATAAGCACCAAGTCGGATTGGTTCTTTGTGGTTTTGCAGCATTTTTTCCCCAGCACTATGCTTTCAAAAGCTTGCAATTTCAAGCTGTGATGAGATGAACTTGCACGTGCTCATGTTCATTATAGTCTTGAAAATCAATTTAGCTGATTAGTGACTACTAAAAATTAATACTTTCGTGGATGAAGTGGCTTATGTTTTTTTCTTTTAAATTCAACTAACACTTGTTTACTGTTTTTTGTTTTGTTTTTATGTTAGTTATTATCAATGGGATTAACTAACTGTTTATGTTTGGCAGAGTTCACAGTATGATAGAGAAACTTGCTCAGTTTACTGATATAAGGTGTTGCCTGGTCGTTGGGGGTCTGTCTACAAAGGTTCGACTACTAGTTTAGTTTCATTATAGCTTAATCTCTAAGTTGTATTGGTAGGTCACCATAGATTCAAATGTTTCATCTGATGCTTGCATTATGTCTTTGGGTTTCCTTATTTCTTTTGAATTGTGGCTTTTCTTTGTATAATTGCATGGATATGCAGTTAGTGTTATTTTGGTCATGTCATGGACCATTTCCTGTTGTGTTTGATAAGCTTTGAGTTGCTCAGGTTAAAATTGATATTGACTATGGTTTTCCTATCCGCGGTGGAAAATTCAATGTAGCTTTGAGGAACCTATTTGAATATCATGTGATGTGATCTCATTTCTTATGATGATGGAATCCCTCTACTAAAGCACTTTGTAATGACATGGACTTTCTCATAAAATAGTAGATAAAGAACCTTTTGCTGAGATTACATACAAGACTATCAATCATCAGGAAATATGATGATTGTAGGTAATAATTATTCAATCAAGAAAATATAATCAGCAAATTCCATATTATTTCTAAGCTTTATCTGGTTGAAGGTGAAAACACATAGTGACATGCATTGAAGCATTTGGTACTTCTTAATTCTTTTGTGATTTTCTTATTGGGTTTACAAGTGATCATTTTCGTCATAGGTTCAAGAGGCTGCCTTGAGATCCATGCCAGATATTGTTGTTGCTACTCCAGGACGCATGATAGATCATTTACGCAATTCCATGTCAGTGGATTTAGATGATCTTGCTGTTCTAATCCTTGATGAGGCAGATCGTCTGTTAGAGCTTGGTTTTAGTGCTGAAATTCATGAACTTGTAAGTTTTGCTATCCTTATAATGCCAGGATCATGATCCTGAAATAAATGCTATTTGACATTTATCTGCTTTCCATTCTATGGGAATTTTAACAAGTTTGTTTTTTAACAGGTCCGCTTGTGTCCAAAAAAAAGGCAGACCATGCTATTTTCAGCTACCATGACTGAGGAGGTTGATGAACTTATTAAACTTTCTCTAACAAAACCCTTGCGTCTTTCTGCTGACCCATCTGCAAAACGGCCAGCAACCTTGACTGAGGAGTAGTTTCTTCAACTTTTTCTCATTCCTTGTAGTACTTATCATATTACATTGCTGTTGACTTTTTCATGCACCGAAGTCAGGTGAATCATATTTGTTAGGTAGAAGTATAAAATCATAATTGATTCTAAAACGAAATTCACTAATAAGTACCTTTTCCTATATGCTCCCAGTATTTCAGTATTTGGGCTAATAGTCTGTGCAATTCGATGCCCGTTTTATTCATCTTTCATGAAAACAGAGAGGTACACATATATAGGCATGCGTCCTGATTGACCGAATCACTCATAGGATACAAAATCAATGAAAAATAAAATAAAATCTCCTAGAATCAAGGAACTAAAACTCCTGCTGCCTATCTTCTAATTTCCTTAAGTAAATAAACCTAAACCTAATTAGGTTAATTTGGGCCAAGGCCCATATCGGCGCTAACACTCCCCCTCAAGCTGGTAAGTAAATATCCTTCATTCCTAGCTTGCTTCTGAGCTCATCAAACTGGGGCCTTGGTAATGCTTTGGTGAAGAAATCTGCTACTTGTTTGTGTGATGGAACATGTGAAAGATCAATTATTTTTGCATCCACCTTTTCTTTGATGAAGTGCTTGTCTATATCCACGTGTTTTGTCCTTTCATGATGAATAGGGTTCCTGACCATCCCGATAGCTGACATACTATCGCATCTTAGCCTGATTGGACTACTAGGCACAAGTTGTAGCTCCTTCAACACTCTAAGTAGCCATAGTCCTTCACAGACTCCGTGAGCAAGTGCACGAAGTTCTGACTCAGCACTACTCCTAGATACCACCGATTGTTTCTTGCTTCTCCATGTTACAAGATTTCCCCAAACCATAGTGCAGTAACTTGAAGTTGATCTTCTATCAGGGAGAAAACCTCCATAGTCTGCATTGGTATATACTTCTATTTCTCTGGAACTCCCTTTAGCAAAGTAGAGTCCCCTTCCTGGTGTCATTTTTAAGTAGTGTAGAATCCTGTAAACGGCATCCATATGTTCCTCAAGTGGCTCATTGGAGAAGCGACTCACCACTCCCACGGCATAACTTATGTCTGGGCGTGTATGAGATAAATAGAGCAGTTTTCCCACTAACTTCTTATATCTCTCTGCATCAACCGGCACAGGTTCCTTTTTAGGTTTCTTTTCTGAACTTTCTTTCCCTTCTTCTGAGTTCATTTCTTCCTCTTCTTTATTGTCTAATTTGCATCCTGGCTCCATTGGTGTGTCTGCTGGTTTAGCGCCCAACATACCAGTCTCCTTTAGTAAATCAAGAGTATATTTTCGCTGAGAGACAACTATGCCTTCCTTGGATCTAGCAATTTCCATTCCAAGGAAATATCCGAGACTTCCAAGGTCTTTTACTTCAAACTCCTTTTCTAAGGATTTCTTTAGTCTGTTTATCTCAAACAAGTCATCATCGGTTAAAATGATATCATTTACATACACTATGAGAATCGCTTTTCTTCTACCAGAATGTTTGACAAATAGAGTATGATCTGATTGGCATTGGTTATACCCTAATTTCTTTACAGCAGTTGTAAATTTCTCAAACCAAGCTCGAGGTGACTGTTTAAGACCATAGAGAGATTTATATAGTCTGCAGGCCATACCTGGAGAGTTGTACTCTGCTACTCCTTGTGGAATATTCATAAATACTTCTTCTTCCAAATCGCCATTAAGAAACGCGTTTTTAACATCTAGTTGATGCAGGGGCCAGTCAAGGTTGGCTGCAAGAGATAGTAAGACTCTAATTGTATTGAGTTTAGCTACCGGTGCAAAAGTTTCCTGGTAATCAATGCCATAGGTCTGTGAGTACCCTTTAGCAACAAGTTGGGCTTTGTATTTGTTAATAGAGCCATCTGGATTATACTTCTTTGTAAACACCCACTTACAGCCTACGGGCTTCTTGTTCTTTGGCAGTTGCGTGATCTTCCAAGTCTGATTTTGTCTTAAAGCCCTCAATTCTTCTCCAATAGCTTCCTTCCACTTGGGATCTAGGATTGCTTGTTGAAAACTACTAGGCAATTGTTCATCTGCCAGATTAGTAACAAGGCACTGCATGGAAGAAGATAGCCGATCATAGGACACAAAATTGCTGATTGGATGTCGTGTACAGGTCCTTACCCCTTTTCTCAAGGCAATAGGCCACCCAAGGTCGTTTGGACCTGAAGTAGGAGTTGAGTTTTGGCGGTGCTCGATGCTAGAGGAGTCTTGAGTTGCTTCTGTTCTATTGTCCTGAGTGGGCTGCTCATAGACTGCATTAGTGTCACCTGTTGCTGTGTTGTTCTGCCTGCTGTCCAGATTAGAATTTGAGTTTTCAGGAAGTTTTGGTGGTGGTTCTGGTGTAGGTTGAGGTTGTGATGGTGAGGTGGTGAAAATAGGGGTAGTAGAAGTAGGAGTGGTTTTGGGCTGAAGAAACTCCCATTCCTCACTACTCTCCCCCTGAATGGGTGTTTTTGGATAATAACTGTGGTTTTCATCAAAAGTCACATTCATGGTCACAAAGTATTTCTTTAAGGGAGGAAAATAACACTTGTAGCCCTTTTGGGTGGATGAATATCCAAGAAAGATACACTTGAAGGCTCTAGGGTCTAATTTACTGCCATTATCATTGTGAACATAAGCAATGCACCCAAAAATTTTAGGTGAAATCTGAGTGTGAAGGTAGGAATTTGGATAGGTTTTAGCTAGGGTTTGGAGAGGTGTATCAAAATTCAGTGTTTTGGAAGGTAAACGGTTTATTAAGTGTGCAGCAGTGAGTATGGCTTCCCCCCAGTAGTATTTTGGAACATTTTGGAACACTGTGTGTTAGCATGATGGATCTGGTTACCTCAAGAAGGTGACGGTTTTTCCTTTCGGCTGTGCCATTTTGTTGTGGGGAATTCACACAGCTCATTTGATGAACAATCCCATGTTGCTTGAGGTAGGTTTGTAGATATGTTCCCATATATTCTCTCCCATTATCACTCCGGAGGATTTGAATAGAGGTATGGAACTGGTTTAAGATCAGTTTGTGAAAATTTATTAATTTTTCAGGTAACTCAGATTTATCTTTCATTAGAAACACCCAGGTTAAGCGTGTGTGATCATCAATGAACGTGACAAACCATTTAGCATGTGTTAGAGAGGGAGTTCGAGTGGGACCCCAAATGTCACTGTGAATGAGGGAAAAAGGTTGAGTAAATTGATGAGAGTGGGGTGTGTAGACACCTTTAGTATGCTTAGACAATTGGCAAACTTCACAAGATAGAGATGAAAAATTTTTATTCAAAGAATCAGGTAACAATCTGGACATATACTTTGGGCTAGGATGTCCTAACCTATAATGCCATAATAACACTTCTTTATCAGTAAAATTAGAAGGAAGAGATTTTTCAGCAGCAAAACTGGAAGCACTTGGTTGTGTCCACGGTTGTTGAGCATCCACACAGTACAATCCCTCTAGCATCCTAGCTTTGCCAATCATCTTCTCCGACTCCAAGTCCTGAAACAAACATTGAGTAGCAAAAAAATCAACATGACAGTGTTGAAATCTGGCAGCTTTACTCACAGATATCAAGCTACACTTTAAATCTGGTGCATATAAAACGGTCTTGAGAATTAGGCTTTCAAAGAGACATGTTTCACCAATACCATGAACCTTTAAAAATTTTCCATCAGCTACCTTTATAAACATTGGGAATGTGCACGGTTTTAGGTTTTGAATCAGCTTTGGATTTCCGGTCATATGGTCTGTGGCGCCAGAGTCAACTATCCACATATTCTCATGGTGAATATTAGTTTTTAGGGCAAGAATGACATTACCTGTGTAGGCTATATTACCGGAGGCAACTAGTTGTTCCTTAGTCTCATATTTTTCTAGGATTCTTTGGAGACATTCAACTTCTTCAGTACTGAGTTTATTACCATAATCAGAGTCGCTTTTAGCTGTGTTGGCCCGTGAGTCACTTTTCCCTCTGCCTCTGTTTGCTGGTTTCCCATGAAGCTTCCAGCACACCTCTTTGGTATGTCCTGATTTTTGACAGTGATCACACCATCTGTTATTTTTCCGCCCTTTTCCATCATTTAACTGGCTACCCTTAGTGTACATAGCACTAGAGTTAGAGAACAGCTGTTGTGGTTGTACAGAGGCAGTAAGTTTTCGCCTGCTCTCTTCTTGTTTCACCATGAAGAATACTTCTCGTAGGAAAGGAAGCTTTTCAAAGCTCATAATGATTTCATCAAAAACAGGATTCAGACTCAGCAAGAACTTGTAAATCCTTTTCTCCTCCTTGATTTTGGCATAGAGCTGGGCATCAGTAGAACAAGCCCATTCATACGTGTCATACAGATCCAGTTGTTGCCATAATATCACCAGATTCGTCCAGAATTCTGTAACAGTTTAACATGCCCTGTTTTAGTTTATCCAAGGCCGCCTGAATCTCCATGATTGCAGCACGATTATTGAGGGAGGCAAACATATCTCGTGCGGCCTCCCAAACTTCCTGTGCAGACTTGAATAGGGAGAAGCTTGCACTTATGTCTGTGGTCATTGAGTTTACAAGCCATGACTGGATCATTGAATCCTCTGTTTCCCATTTTGCAAGCTTCGGGTCAGAGGACAGAGGTCGTTTCTCGGTGCCGGTGAGATAGCCCAGCTTCCCTTTTCCAGTCACGAACTGATGGACGCTCGCAGCCCATTGGAGATAATTCTGGCCATTCAGTCGATGAATGGTGATTGATGAGGAGGTAGCATCGTTCGGCACTTGGTGGCCTGAACCCTGATCACTCGACGTTGTAGAGGTATTCAAGGCGGAGGAATTCATGCCACCTTGACCGTCATTATCTAGTCCGAATCCAAACCGGATCATGGTAGCTCTGATACCATGTGCAATTCGATGCCCGTTTTATTCATCTTTCATGAAAACAGAGAGGTACACATATAGGCATGCGTCCTGATTGACCGAATCACTCATAGGATACAGAATCAATGAAAAATAAAATAAAATCTCCTAGAATCAAGGAACTAAAACTCCTGCCGCCTATCTTCTAATTTCCTTAAGTAAATAAACCTAAACCTAATTAGGTTAATTTGGGCCAAGGCCCATATCGGCGCTAACATAGTCCTTTTAGTGGGCTGAGCATTGAGACCATCAATATTTTTAAAGCTAGTAGGAATGACTAGGGTTCAGGCATGTGGAGGTTACTGTTATTATGTGAAAAAAAAAAAAAATCCTAGTTCCTCTAAATTTCTGAATGGTTGTATTTAAGCTTTCAACATAGTTTTGAGCTCTTTTTACCTCTTCCTGCCCCCCCCTTTTTTTTTTCAGGGTGGTTAGAATAAGAAGAATGCGCGAAGCAAATCAGGAAGGAGTTCTTCTTGCATTGTGTTGCAAAACTTTTACATCTAAAGTGATCATATTCAGGTTTTCCTCATTGTCATACACTGTACTTACCTGGAAAATACTGATGCATGAAGTCATTGATGTTGATTTCGGGGGTGTTTGGGTAGAAACTAAATCATGGTTTTAAAAATGCTTTTATGATATACGAAGTAAATATGTGGAGGAGATTGTTTCGTTTTGCAAAAAAGTGCTTCTGAGAAGCACTTTTGGGTGCTTCCAAACACCCTTTCATGAATTGGTCATGATTTCCTATATGAATAATAAAGAAACTAGTAGGACTTTTCATGTTCCTTTCTAATTAATTGTATGTCTAATTGATTTATCTGAAAGAATAAAACTCACTGGTAGTATTTATTGGAATGATTCCATTAGTAATTGCTTATAGTAATCTTTCACTGCTAGTCCATTAGCCTATAAAAATACTCAATAAATTGATAGTTATGGCTTTCTAGTGAAGAACAAACCTGCTTCATGATTACAATAAGCATAAGTTCTCATGTGCTTTGCTCCCCTACCTACGCTTTTTCTGTCTCTATTCTGCGACCTTCTTCTCATCTTTAGCTGCTTAATAATGTGTCTTTTGACTTACAGTGGAACAAAACAAGCTGCACATAGGTTGAAGATTATATTTGGATTAGCTGGTTTGAAAGCTGCTGAGCTTCATGGAAATCTTACTCAGGCCCAGCGTCTTGAGGTATGCTTAGATTGTTCTGTACCATTTGTTTGGTTGCACAATTGACCTTTATAATTTTTTTTCACTATCAAGTAATTGGTTTTTGAGGTGCTAAAGTACAACTGCTTATCTGGAATTGCCTTATTATTATTATTATTATTATTTTGCCAACGCCTAATTGTTTTTGTATTTTGCCTACCTTTGTTGAAAGGTTGGCTTGTTTGAAAATTGAAAGTGGTAATGCTAAGATTGCCCTAAGATAAATGTTGTGGTTGTTTGTGTACAGGCTTTAGATCAGTTTAGGAAGGAGCAAGTCGACTTTTTGATTGCTACTGATGTGGCTGCTCGAGTAAGAACCTATTGCTGAAAGCTATTATTTATTTATCTATCTATCTATTATTCTCATTTTATGCATTGTTTTTTTGTGTTTTTGTTTTGAACGAAATTTTGTTAACCTTTCAAATACCTGCTATTTGACACCTTTGTGTATGCGTTTCATGTAATAGGGCCTAGACATTATTGGTGTTCAAACTGTCATCAACTTTGCATGTCCACGAGATCTTACCAGGTATATCACGATGGTAACACTGCTTTTGATGATTATTATTATGACTTGTGCATACTGTAGTTGACTTGAAAATGTTATTTCAAACTGTAGTTATGTTCATCGAGTAGGACGTACTGCAAGAGCTGGCAGAGAAGGATATGCTGTCACTTTTGTGACTGACAATGACCGGTCACTTTTAAAAGCAATTGTTAGTATCATTCTTATAAATGCTGTACATTTTTGGCCTGCTTTGGGTTTTATATCTTGATAGCTATGCTACGTCATATAAAATCCATTATTTTCTAATAGTTATGCAGGCTGATATGCTTTTAGGTCTGAGATGAATGGCTTTTTTTATAAAGAAAATGTTGATGTTGATTATTAGGCTTTAAATTTTCACGAGACATAACACAAAGCAAGCTTTATATTCACATATGATGCGATTTCATTGATTGTTGATTTAAATCTTGGTTTCAACTGATCAGGCAAAGAGGGTAGGTTCAAAGCTGAAGAGCCGTATTGTTGCAGAACAATCTGTAATTAAGTGGTCTCAAACTATTGAGCAAATGGAGGATGAAATTGCTTTAATTGTTGAAGAAGAGAGGTTTCAATCCTATTATGTTCTGAATTTATGCCTAACTTTTTAGTTTTTACCAGTGTACTGTATTTCATTAGTTGAATTTTCACAGGGAGGAAAGAGCCCTAAGGAAGGCTGAAATGGAGGCGACAAAGGTATTGATTAGTTAAACCTTCTCTTACAATTAACATCATTCAGAGATTGTATTTTGAATGTGAGTTGTCTTGGTTTGTTAGTAAATACTTTCCTGCATTGGATCCCTATATTAGGTTATTCCCAACGTTTTCTTTTTAATTTTAATAAATCACGTTTCTATGACCTGGGCAGGCTGAAAACATGATTGAACATAGGGAAGAGATATATTCCCGGCCCAAAAGAACATGGTTTATGACGGGGCAGGAGAAGAAGCTTGCTGCAAAAGCAGCCAAGGTAAGATTTTGTTGCATGCCTCAGATATGGTTCTTATTCGTTTGAACAAATTTATGGTGATTCCCTACATTTTGGAATATTAAAGAATTCATGTTGAGCCTAGGATAGTTATCATGAACGCTTGAAACATTATATATTGTTTTAAATAATCGTCATCTGTCAACCTAAACCAAAAGGAAGAAGCGGGTGGGAGTGAGGTGGGATAATCCCAGGAGAAAGATCTTTAAATTGTGTGAAGAGGAGTGCATTGGACTTTCTCATTCATGTTATTCTGGCTGTTTTTCTTTTTTCTTTTTCTTTTTTTTTCAATGACTATCTGTATTTAGTGTTATTTCAGTTTTTTGATACTTTTATTTCAGGATATATTAAAAAGGTTGTCTGTTTCCTAATATAGCTTGCAAACTTTTGCAGTGAAGTCACATGCTATTAGAAATAAATAATTAAGGACTGAGGTTGAGTTCAATTTCTCCTCCTTGAAAAATATGGCTCTGTGCTAATAATTCTAATGCCCTGTTCAACAGAAGCCTAACGAAAAGGAAAAGAGCTCTGGGAAGGAAGTAATTAGTGCTGAACAAGCCGAAGCCCTAAGAATGAAGGAAAAGAGGAAGCGAGAGCGAGAAGTAAGCAGTGTTCCCATTTTATTTGTATTTACTGATTACTGATACTGATTTATATTTGATTTTACGCCTACATACAGTACTTGTGCACTCGCATTTCTTTCATGCATAGTTTTGTACTTATTCAATCACTTTTGGTCTAGAAAAATTTGCCCAGGAAGAAGCGCAGAAAATTGGAAGCTGCTAGAGAGATGTTGGAGGATGAAGGTCATTTTGAGAAGCCAGAAGTATGTAGTCCTATCATTTTCCATTTGTCTTCTGCAATAAAGAATTGTCTAGTTGACTTTTATTATGATAACTTTCATTAGTAAATTTGTTGATGTGATTATAACGAGGATCTTATGTGTGTGTAAATATAGCCATATAATAGAAATGCATATATTGATATGTTACACAAAAATAACCAATTTGATCATTGACCTAGTTACTGAATTGGTGACTTGAAGCCCTCGTGTCATCAATATGTGGGCTCTTTAGTCATATTTTCCATCATACTCAAATACATAAATGTGCAGGCTAATGAGAAAAATAAGAAAGAGAAGACTGGAATGTCACTTGTTGATGTGGCATACCGACGAGCAAAAGCAGTTAAAGCAGTGAAGAAGGCTATGGATGCTGGCAAAATTGTGAAGAAGGGTAAGAAGAAATCGAATAATTCTTCACGAAAGACTCCTTCAAGGACAGAGGAAATGCGGGAGCTTTTCCAAACTGACATGAGTGAGAAAAAACAAAAAAGAGTTGGTGGACCAGGGAAGAAATCCAAAAGTTCATTCAAGAGCAAGTCAAGGTATGTAGTACTCTTTACCTGTTTCTCTTGATGAATCTTATAGTATATAGCTGTTATATTCATAATCTCTTTTCTCTTTATTTTTCTTATATGCTATGTATATGCAATCACTTGTATGAATGTAGAGATTTGGATCTTTGACAGTGAGAGAAGAAAAATTTAGAGCCTGCTTGATTTCCTTTTTTTTTATTTTTTTATTTTAAGAAAAACTTGTTTGAAAGTGTGTTTTTGGTTACATGTTTTGAAAAACAAAAGAATTAAAGGTTGTTCTGCGGGAAAAAACAGAACACCTTTTTGATGCTGTGATACTTCTTGTTCTACAAAATTAGAGAAGAGGCAGAAAACATTGTATTTTCATTAGTGACAATCATGCTAATAAAACGTGTTTTTTAATAATATTTTGTTTCCAAAACGTGTTTTAAAAAAATTGCTCTACAGAATCATTTTAAGAATATAAAAAAAGAGAATAAAATCAAACAAGTCCTTAGTTTTTTTTGGGTTCTATTACTTTTCAGGTATAAGCGCAGGTAGTTTGTCAGGACAATAGTGAATTTTGATCAAATGTATACATCACCTCAAAAGGCCAGTGCTTGAGCTCATTGTTGGCTTGGGAGAATATTGACACTTAAGAATATCCTTATGCCGTTCTCATGTTCCGCCATTGGAGCTGATCGATGAGGCTGTGTTACCCAGTTGTTGCTTGTGTTTGTGGGGAGCATAGTGACAGTCGTGCAGACTTATGTGGGAAACAGTGAATATAACCGGTGTGGGACTTGGTGGATGGAACTGCAAGTATCTATTAACTCTTATCATGTCAGCGAGAATCTTCTCTACTCAATTTTGTAATCTAGGCATCATATATTTGATCACTCAATGTAATATTATTCATTACAGTATTCTTTTGAGTAATTGACTAATTTCCTCGCTTTGTTGGCTCTACTGAGATGACTGCTATTGAATTTTTGCCATGGATTTACTGTGTGGAGTTGCAAAATACAATCGATTTTAACTATATTAAAATGAAGACATATAATTCTTCATTAATTGGATAATGGACGAATTTGAAGACTTGGCAAGCAAAGATGAAACGGATGCAAGGGAAAATAAAGTATGATGCGATATTTTTCTGTCAAATTTTTTGCAATTTGCAATTCACAGGTTGCTATTCGGAACAAAATTTTTGCAATAAATTTCTCTCGAGTATAAAATAACATTAGAAATTGAAATGTTAGATTTTGCGTTTGATAAGCTCTTATTTTCAATTACCAGTTTCCATTTGTGGTGGCAAACTATTGTCAGTCTTACTTTTTCTTAGGATACTGGGGTGAGTTGGCAAAATTTCCAAATTCCAGTTTGAGTCATATGTTCATTAACGAAACTACTCAAGATGTAATTTAGGTAACTTAACTGCTTTTTAAAGGAATTTTCTCAATGAATAATTGATTGCTTTTCGATAATAATAAATGTAATATAGTTACTTTTCATGTATTGTATTATTAAAAAATATTGAATAATGTAACTTATTTTAAGTATCAATAACTAACCATATTATTATCATATGTAAGAAGATATTCCTGCTTGGATCGTATTATTAAATTAAATTAATATTAGGACCCATTTGAGGAAAGTTATATTATATAAATACTTAGTTTATATTTAAAATAATGAATAAATATAATAATTAAGATAAATAAACTTTATATTTTTTTTTTCCCGAAGTACGCGATCAATATGAACATCAAAACCTATTTGGCGCTAAATTTTCTGTCGCTATTCCTTCGTTCGGTGAATGTTTGGCGTTGGGAAAACCTCGGCATCCCTGCTAGCTGAGATTTCGTCAACATTGGCCTCGTTTCTCTTCCTGCTACAAGCTCAGCCGCCTCAAGTTCTCTAGTCCGGTTCTGTCACTTACTCTGGACACTCTGCAGTTCCTTTATCTTGCTGCAACAAGTTCCACAGATTCCGGAAGGACTGGCATATTTGTGCACCACTCTCGTCGAGCTCGATCTTTCCTTGAACTCCCTCTCCGGTACGATTCCGCGCGGTTTGAGCGCCTGTTCTTCGCTGGAATTGTTTGTTATTATCTGAAAACAAGTTTTCCAGTGAGTTACGGATTGAAATTTTCGTGGACATGAGCAGCTTGAATAAGCTAGTTCTTTCATTCAATGATTTCTTCGGTGATTTGCTGGATAATTTGTCGAAGCTCACACAAGCTTGGAATCGTTGGATTTGGGTTCCAATAGTCAATTACATTGTGAATGTAATGTCTTGAGCCAACTATATCAGTACTTGCAATGGAACTTAGGCTTATGCTCTTATAAGTGAAAGTCTGTATTCTCTGAGAGGTTCTCGGTTCTGCCTTTCCTGCCTTATTTTCCAATTAAGTCAGGGAATAATATGAGACTCATATGTAATTATCAGTGAAACTTATATGAATTTTATATATACGCCCCTATCAGTGAAACCGCGGGTTTGGTGTTTCTAATTTTCTCGCGTGAGTTTTCTGCTTTGTGATTTCCTGTTGGTTTCTGCTTTCTGATTTTCTTTATAGTGTTCTTTTGTGAAGTTTTCTGATTTTCCACTCTCATCATTAAAACATTCCTTAAAAATATTGCAGAGCTGGCTTTTTTCGGCGTATTAGTACTGACATTTAATGGATTCCGAAGTTGAAACTATTGAGAGAAGATTTACATCTTTGTTTGGTCAACTCCAAGCAGAGTACGGCGTACTTGAAAGAATGGTGTACAAGAACAAGAACCAGCATAGGCGTTGTTCTTATTTCAAGTATCTTTTGAAGGTAAAAGATGTGTTTTCTTACTTCCCTCTGCTTTTTCTTCATTCTTGGTCAACCTTTATCAAAAAGCGGGGTCCATTCCTGGTTCAACAAATTGGTTTCACAAGATGAAGAATGTAAAAGGGCTTCTGTTAATGATATAAAATTGTGCATCTGATCAAATGATTTTGTGCAATCTTTTCTCATTTGTCAATTTTAACAGCATTTGCATCACCATTAAATTATGACTGTTCGCACTTGTATTTACATATATGCAACGTGCAAATTAGGTAGAGAGGGATTTGCGGCTTCTACGATCTGTGAACTTGGAGGACCTTGTCATATCGTGCCTCCTTGTTATCAAAGGAGACAGACCTAAACAGAAGGCTCATCTTTTAGAGAGGTACAACAAACTTATATATTGATCTCTGTGTGCCTAATGGTAATTGTGTTTTAATTCATTTAATTGGAATTTACCCTTTAATTGTGAAAGGATGTCTAACTTTGCATAATCATAAAATGAGTGTGGTTATAGACTGATTTGAAGGCTAACTTTAGCACATAATCGAATTTTCCAATATAAACACATTCAGATTAGTGCTAAAACCAAGGGTAGTTCTGTTCATATGGCAATATGAGTATGTTAAAGACGTTGGGGGGTCTGGTCCTCATATTTTAAATATTTTTCTTTTCCTCAATAAATTCTATTTTATGTAAGAATGTATTTCAAATAGTTCTTGGAAAAAATTTTCTCCCACTTTCTCAAAATTAAACTGATCAGCATGCCTTTTTATTGGGTAGTAACAAGCAAATCAACTGGGGTGGTTGTTTAATTATTTCCCTTAAATCCAAGTTTATTTGCTTTTGACTTCATAATTTAATCTGATGTGGGAGGGAAAGATTGGAATTTTTTCAAATTCTTAATTCGTGAGATCATCTGAAAATATGATGTAATAGCATTCATTTGAATATTTTGTTACGAAATTTTTGTGAATAATGAAGTTTATAATTTTTTTTGGCTTACTGTTCCATGATAGTTTAAAAAGGAGAAAATGCAACAGTGGAAAATATAATTTTCTGGAGCGGATTTTAGGAGCTGCACGCCTGCTGGCAGAGGTACAATTGCATGTGAATTCTGAAGATTTACTTTACTATCTTCATTACTAAGTTACTGTGCTTCTACTTTGGCAGATCATTTGTTGTGTGCGTCTGAACATTAATTTACCAACTAATTGCCACCTGCTTGTTAGACAGTAGTTGTATTATTTTAGCAGCATATTGGTGAAAATACTTGGTTCTCGTTGAGATACTCTGCTTGCCATTGGTAAATATCATCAATGTCAAAGCCTGTCTGAGCAAAAATATTGAGGGAAGATAATGCTGGGAGTTATGTAATTAATCAAAGATTTTACATGGCTTATTCCAAATTCTGCAGGAAACCTTGTAGTTCATAGTTGTGAGTGTAGTTGGTCCATTCATTATTCTATGCATACTATATTATGAAAATTTCGTTCCATTGATTGACCCTGATGGCAATTTCTTCTGAATGCGCTGCTTACTAGCGCTACAACCTATTCTCCAATTTTTATGTGTGCTATGTTTTCTCGTGCAGATGGTTGAACCAGTGCTGAAGGCTGCAACGTATCCTCCTGATAGCAAGCTAGTTATTTATACTTCATAACAGTTGTCTGGTTTATTGCATACCCTTGATTTAGTTGAATATTCCAGGCCTCAATCTTGGCGCAAGGCATATAAACATTTAGTCATTCACTTCTTCCCACTCTCTTTGTTGTCTATTTCTGGCTTAGTCTTTTGTTATCAGGTTGCTTGGAGAGGAGATGAAAGTTCTTAATCTTTTTCTAGAATTTGTTGTTGTCATTTGCACCATTACCGTTCTTTTATTGGTTTAGAGCGTGTTGTTTTTCCCTTAACTATTCAATAGTGAGGTATCTATTCTGTTTGCTCAGTCTTTTTTCATGGGATTTTCTCTAACAATCATGGCTATCCTTGCGCGCCTCCGGGTTTTAATTCAACAAGTAAGTTTACAATATTTCAATGTTGTTCTGCAAATGTAAGTTTTGTTTGTAAAGTATTCTTTTCTAGTTTTGTGTTGTGAGGGCTATGGTTTATAAGTTAATGCTGGCCAATAAGATTGTTGTTAAGTGATTGTTGCGTTACCAACTGTTCTCTTTAAGAAAAGAACAAACTTAATCTTGAACCATTTCTTATTTGTACAGATGTTACTTGATATTGTCACATTGTTCAACATAGTTTCTTCTATCTCTCAAAAGAAGCAGTCAATAAAGATAAAGCAGGAGGGAGTTGAGGTTGGTTTATACTAAATCTTTGCATATTTTAAGAAAAATACTTGGGCGCAGGAAACCATGTTCTTCAAGCCATATTATTATCACTCTTCTATAACATATACTATTTCTGCAGGTTTTTAGGGAATACTTTCCAGTCAATGAGGATTTTGTCAGGTTAGAGTGTGTGTGGAAATCAGATAAGTTTGCACTTCTCGAGAAGAAATGTAAGAATGAAAATGCAAGTAAAAGTGAAGATTCTCGAGAAAGCATCTCTGTCCAAGCATCAGCTATCAACTACAAAAGTATTGAATCTTGTCTTGGAGGTGAGAATCTCGATTATGTGTTCTTCCCACTATGTCATTGCCACATTCTATCATTTTCTTTTCTTTTTCTTTGTTTGCATTGTACGAAGCATGTGAACTATCCCTATAAGTAGTGTGACTTTTTATAAAATTTATGTCTTCCTATCAGTCTTGAATTTTACAGTATCATAGGCTTTGGACCAAGCCTTGAAAAAATATATGCCATGCAGAAACTGCAAATAACCACCAACTTGTTGATTTTTGACCAAATTTTGGGAAACTGTTATGATTTTGCAGAAACTGAAAATGACCAACTTGTCTCAGAGAGGACTAATTTAGACGCTTCTGTCAATGATGAGCCCTCTCGTGTGGACGGTGTGACTACTGATTTGTTGAATCAGGAAGAGATGAGAAGTTGTGATGAGGAAGGAAGAGATCCAGGCAGCACCATAGAAGGCTTGTCTTTTAATGAAATTCCACCAAAGGATGGCTTGAAATTGCATGCATCACTGAACTCACCCACTAAACTTGATTCTTCCTCTTCTTTTAAGAAGGTGGCGTTTGTCTCAATCAAGCGTCCTAAATTATCCACACAGGAAGACCGGCCTCCATTAGTTGCTACTGTTTGTGAAAATGGCGAAACTAAAAATGATAAAGAGGGAGATACACTTGTTGATCTGCTCTCTGATGGGATTCCGAGGAATAGTGTTTTTTAGACTGAATTTGATTTGATTGAATCTTTAACTTTTCAAGCTCAACTTTTCTTTTTTTTCATTGAAGGGGGAGAAAGGTTACAACACTTACGGGAGCATAAATGCTACTAGGCTATAAGCCTATTGGTCAAATTGTTTTGTTTTCAAACTATATATTTCTAACAATTCTGTTTTGTTTTGTTTTGTTTTGAATCAAAGCTACACACACACACTATATATATATATATATATTTCAAGTACTATATAAGAAAGCAATTAAAAATTGATGGCATGAAAACCCGAGCCAAAGAAAATATCTGAAGCATAATCTTTACTTCGTAAATAAAGATGATTTTTATTTCAAAACTAGTATCTATCTACAAAGGGATTTATATTAGTAAAAGAGAATAATGCTTTTGTAGAAACCAAATTAACAAAATTAGTTATAACGTGAATATAAAAAAAGTTAAAAAATTATTTCGTTATCTAATATGAGCAATAAATAAGGCAAGACACATGCTGAGAATTGTTCTATGCAGAGAGAAAATTGTTTTCTGTAATTAAAAAAAAGAGAAACATGTTTTCTACCTTTAATAATTAAAAGTAATATTAATTGGGTAATAATTATTTTTCAAAATATAATTACTTTAATTTTTATATTTATGAGAGATATTTTGAAAAATAACACATCAAATATTGGTGGAAGAGTGCTTATGTTAACTAAGATAATAATAATTAGGATAAATTATTATAAGATCTCGGAGATGCTCATCCTACACTATTTATATTGATTTTAAATATTTCATATTTCAATTATATTTTTTTTCAAGTTTTAAAAATATTTTTATTTTGAAAGATATAAAATTTGAAAACAAAATAGTCTTATAATTTAAAAGGGAAATAAGTTTACTATAAAAAAAAATTGGATATTGAAAACTTTACATGTATGCTGTCCAATTTTAAGGCGACCAGTAGTGATCGAGGGCCCCTGTGATGCTAATATTCCCTATAACCCCAATAAAACAATCTCACAGATCCATTCCTCCTCATCGACGAACAAGCATCCCACGCTTGGTCGAGCTCGCCGCCGGACGCCGCCCACCGTTGTTAGCCCGGCTTGGTTCTTCCTCGGCAAGCATTGAAGAAGGTTCGAACCCTTTCTCTTCCTTCCATGCTCGGACTTAGGGCTTATAAGCTAATTTTATATAATATGCTGCGGGACGACGTTCTTGTTTTCTGAAATTAATTATGTGCTTTTCGACTTTTAAAATTGTCAATGTTTGCTTTTCTTTGGTTTCTTTCTACTCATGTTCAACTTGGGGGTAAGATTTTCCTTAAATTCAGAGCCTGCCGCCTTTGTTATAAAGAGTATCTCGAATTTGATTATTTGGACTTTAGCTTTCGTCTGCTGATATGTTATTCTTTTCATGAATATATATTGGATTTCTCTCTATCGTTTTCCTTCCTTATAATCCTTGCACTTTTTTTTTTAATAAAAAATTTATTTTGGGTTACCTGATCATTTTTAAACAAGTTGCTTATTATTGTTTATGAATGGCTAAACGAACTAGGGTCTGAAGGAAGGGAAGGAAAATATTGATTTCAGTTTTCATTCAGAGAAAAACCATGTCAGTGACAGCAGGAGTTAGTGATACCATAATAGCTATAAGGGATAAGCTCAGGGGAAAAATCGGGCAGACAAAAGTTAAGCGGTATTGGCCGGGTAAAGTTCCTGAATGGGCTGATGATGATATTGAAGAAAGCGATATTAGGACAGCCAAGGAAGCTGCCTTGGAGAAAGCATTTCCTAGTCAAGAAGATTCTGACATTGTTAAAAAGGATGATCCTAGGCTCCGTCGTTTGGCTGAAAGCAGAATAGATAATCGTGATGAAGTGAGGGCCGATCATCGGCGCATTCGGCAAGCTGAGATTGTTTCTACAATTGAAGAGGAAGCAAGGAGACAGGAAGGGTTGGAATTAGAGGAAGAAGATGAGGAGGCTTTGGAGGAAAGAAGAAGAAAAATTAGGGAAAAATTGCTTCAAAGAGAACAGAAGAAGCACTTCCTCAAGAGGAGGAGGAGGAAGAGGAGGAGGAAGAGGAAGAAGAGGAATCTGAGTATGAGACTGACTCAGAGGAGGAACTTGGTGGAATTGCAATGGTGAAGCCTGTATTTGTTCCCAAATCAGAGAGAGATACTATAGCTGAGCGTGAACGTCTTGAAGCTGAAGAGAGGGCCCTTGAGGAGGCTAAGATAAGGAGATTGGAGGAAAGGAAAACAGAGACAAAACAGATTGTTGTTGAGGAGATCCGGAAAGATGTAGAAATCCAGAAGAATTTGGAGTTGGAAGCAAATGTTGCTGACATAGATACTGATGATGAGGTTAATGAGGCAGAGGAATACGAGGCTTGGAAAGTGAGAGAGATTGGTCGGATCAAGAGAGACAGGGATGATCGTGAGGCAATGTTGAAGGAGAAGGAAGAGATTGAGAAGGTGAGAAACATGACAGAAGAAGAGAGGAGGGAGTGGGAAAGGAAGAATCCAAGGCCAGCTGCACAACCAAAACAGAAGTGGAGGTTCATGCAGAAATACTACCACAAGGGTGCCTTCTTTCAGTCCAATCCTGATGATCGATCTGCAACAGTTGGGGCTGATTATATTTACACTCGTGATTTCTCTGCCCCAACTGGAGAAGATAAGATGGACAAGACAATCTTACCCAAAGTTATGCAAGTCAAGCACTTTGGTCGTAGTGGAAGAACTAAGTGGACCCATTTGGTTAATGAGGATACTACTGATTGGAACAACCCGTAAGTACTCTTTCTCTTCAATTTTCCTTGTTTTTGAAACTATTGCCTGTCTACTACATTATTTATTTATTTGGCAAAGTGTTTTTTTATTTGCCAACATTTTCTGCATGTTTTGACTTCCATCTTAATTTTCCATGATGCTGATCTATGATGGTCTCGTATTCACACGTTTTTGATATCATTATAAAGTTGAGTGAGCTCAGATCAAAATCGAGTTAGTTTAACAAAACACCCCCCCCCTCAAAAAAAAAAAAAAAATCTGTCTTTTTCTGAACGATCTACTAATAACAAGAGTAAGAATAAGAAGGAACTTCGTAAAGGATGGAATTACCAACTTGGGAATTTTATGAATGTCTTTGTTTGACCGTTCCCCCCCCCCCTTTGGGTTTGGGTAAACATCTTTGTTTGAACGTTCTGCTAATGACAAGAGTAAGAATATGAAGGACCTTTGTAAAGGATGGATTCACACAACTTGGCAATTTAATGATGTGAGTGGTGACTGGTGAGACTGACAGGATGTGAGGGAAGGTCTGTATCAGGAAAGGAAAACGGTCTCAAAAGGGCATTGAAAGAGGCCTATTTTACTGAAGAAGAAAGTAGAAGGAGGACCAAACTATCTAGGAAGGAGGACCAAAGTATCTAGGAAAGAGAGCTGGGAGAAGAGGGAAGGAAAGGGAAACCAAGTGTAACTGCCTTTGTTAGGTAGTGCACCGGCAGGAGAGAGGGGAGAGAAAGGTTTAAGGACGGATTATTGAAGAACGGAGTTTCTGGGGGGAGGACAAGGATAATCTGAATGAAAAAGGGTAGAGCATGATCACAATACCAAGGGGGATGTTGTGATGATTTCTTATTTGTTTTGTTTCTTTTTGTGAGTAGATTAATTCTTGCTCATAACTAGTACTGAACTCAGATTCCTATCAGTGAGCAGTGACTTTAATATGTTTATGTGGGACCCACACCCACACTAGTCCGAATTGTCTCAATTTGTAGGAGAATGAGTCATTTGGAGCAAATCATGACTGATCAGATCATTTGAAAAAGTTCGTTTATTTCCATGAATGTAGTTTGTTTTTCCCTAGAGATGTAGGCAATAGGAGTTTATTCAAAATAATTCGTTTCTCTTTTGCAAAATGGAACAATCCGACTTGACTCAACACTCACTGTGACCTACCTCTCAAAGGGGCCCCTCAGGTTGGGTCTATTCCCCTCCCCTAAAATTGACAGTCAATTTCTTAGTAAAGTCTGAGAATCCAGTGCCATTTTGCTTGATGCTATATTTTGCAGTATGATTTTCTTCAGTGGTCTGTCATTTAATTACAGCATACTTTGATGCTTTCTGGTCAGTTGATTCTATTTTCATGAATCAGCTGTTTAGGGAAAGAAATAATAGCCACAACTAGACTGAAAATTATTCATTCCTCCTGCAATTTCTTTACACTCTTACTTCAAGAGTGCTGCGAAATATAGTAGTGTTTTACCCCTCCAATTGATTGCTTATTATTTTATATTTTTGGATAGATTCAATCGTTTATTCGATTGTGCGAATGACCGCTTAGGCTGTTTGTAGATAACTGTCTCTTATTGCGGTCCCTAATGCTCTTGTTGCCAACGTTCAATTTGGTGCAGGTGGACGTACAATGACCCTCTTCGGGCAAAATACAATGAGAAGATGGCAGCAATGAATGCATCTATATCAAAACCTAAAGGAAGCAAAAAATTGAAAGATTGGGAATCTCGATGAATTTGTACTTTTGATTTGCTTTAAGTTATTGTATTAGACTAACAGAGTAGTAATAGTGGGCAACTTTTTACCTGAGTCATAGAAGTTTAGCATCTTCTATTGAATTCGATGACATGAGTTTTGTTCATCTTTCTTCTTTGGCCTGAGTAACAGCCGTTGGTTGTACCACACATATGCCTTGTGATTTTCTAAGTACTGCAGATGTATTATACGCAATCTTGCAGAAAATCTAGAAGGGAGCATCTCAAGGAGTTGTTCCACCAATATCTGGACCTACGTTCTTCTGAAACTGAAGGGATTTATGAAGCCTAATTAGTTGCTGAATGTCATCTCTCAATTTCCATGTCAGCGTTCTCCTAGTTGTAGAGAGTGAGAAACTAATCCTGAAGTCTTTTGATGGAAAGATGCTTTCCCAAACTACTGTGGTATTTGTATGAGAGCTCAGGAAAGTCATGTTGTTGACTCATCAAAAGGGGGGCTTGCTGGAATTTTCATACCATATGTAGATATTGAAATTCCTTTCTTGAGCAACCCAGCTGATCTTGTCTTTGATCTCTTTAGTTCTAGCTGATTTATTGGATAGCTAATGGGGAAATTTTCTGAGATTCTATGGCCAAAGTCTTTCTTTTTTTCTTTCTCTTTTCTTTTTCTTTTAAACCCCCTGAAGAAAGAGGATGGTCAATAGTCATCCTCACTGTCACCATCTTGGCTCTTGGGTTTTCAAACTCAATTAAACATGTTTTCTGCTTCAAACCTTGAATCAACATTTGCCAAGATCATTCTACAACTCTTTGTTCAGATCACTTTGATGAACGAAATGGTAAGGGAGAATCAAACTATCTTGCTATCCTATTTTGCTGTCTCCTCCATTCTCCATGTGTCTTGTTCTGCATCATTTCCTAGAGGCTTTTTTTTTTTTTAAATTTTTTTTGATGATTCTTCAGATAGTCTAGACCTGTTTAATCAGAATTCTAGAGGTCTGAAGCCAAGACCTTCTTCAATTGAAAGTGAACGGTTCTTCCACCTACACAGGATCGTTTTGAGCTTATTATTGAATTGAGAAAAAGAAAAAACAGCATTTAGCATCACTTAGATTTGATAGCATATTTTACGCGAAAGGTTAATGGCAACGTTGGCAAGTTAAAGGATTGAGCACTGATGTTATCAGCAGCAACAAATTTAAGCACAGAAGGGAAATAAAACCCCAAAAAAAAAAAAAAGATAGAACGAATAAATTTTATTGAAATTTTTTTTTAGAAATTGCTGTTGAATTTTAAAATTCTAAATTAGTATTGGTTACTATATTTGTAAAGAAAATGATTACATTCAAAAAACAAATAGTAACACATTTTTTATAGTAATTTCTGATTTCGAATTTTGAAATTTAATAATTATTTTTTTGAAAATTTTTCTAATTTTCTTATCAATTACGGTCTATGGACAGCATCTTAATTGAAAGAATTGTTTACATTTAGTGCTTTCTAATATAAAGTTACTTAGAATATTAAGATGATATTTATACACGAGAAAAAAAATTATTGGCCAACATGTTTCCATATTCCCTTAATTTTTTATATATATTTATTAAAATTGCGTAAACTTTTTTTTTTTTTTCTGTATCATGCTATAAAATGGGTTTTATTGGAAAGTACTTTTTTATCAAAATATTTGTATTTAATTTTTTAAGATAAAAAAATTAATATTTGAAAATATTTTATTAAAAATATTAAAACATATTTTTTTCTTAAAAAAATTGTGAAATGAAAATGAAATGACGCCTCAAGGAATAATCCACCAGATCAAATGGTAGCCAACTGAAATAGAAAATCTGAGTTGATAAACCCTAACCCCCTTCTTCCCTCTCTCTCTCCACAGCGTACTAACCTGTAACCACCAGGCTCCTCTGCACAACACTGTCTTCAAGTTCCGAATTCGCAAGCTGCTGTCCTCTTTCCTCTTTCCATTATCGCTTTATTTTCTTTGTTGTCCTCATCAACTTTTGGTATTCTGTAGAAACTCAATGCCCTGAGCATTGTGAATCTGATGGGGCGTCACTCCTCCGAATCTCCTCCGCCTAGGGCTCGCGGGAGAAGCCCAGCATCCTCCTCGCGAAGAGACCGGGAAAGGGAAAGATAAAGAGAACGAGAAAGAGACAGAGACAGAGAAAGATCACCCGATACATTCCCATTCCCACAAGCATGACCCTCCTCGCATCAGGCATTTCTCCATTCGCCACAAAGCATGATTTTCTGGCGCAGGACCGGTCGAGGAGAGACGCCGCCAACGAGAGCTCTGACCACAGAAGTCGCCACTCGGCTCTCTCGGCTCATCGCAGAGCGTCGTGAGTCCTCAGCTAGCTCCTAGCTCGCATCTCGAACTCCGCGTACACAGAAGAAGAGCACAGCTGGCCGTGGACAGCGAAGAAATCAAGAGATGGGGGAGAGAACTGGAAGGATGGATAGAGCTGAGATGATGGAGAAGGAATTCGGATGAAGATATGGTGATAACGGAAGGATCGAGAAGATGTAGGACCTCTTGAAGGGAATGAAATTGATGATAACCACAATGACAGCGGCAGAAACGGTCTTCAAGGTCCAGACATGAGAGGCCTACTACTTCTCCTGAGCATCATCGCAATGGCAGGAAACAGGCACAGATCTCCGTCTCCTCAGCATCTGATGGCTCGTGATGAGGTGTCTGGTGATATCCAACCCTGTGAATAATGCTTAGAGTTCAATACTATTTTTTATTCGATTTAAATGCATCAATTGATAGTTTTGCTAAGGATTATTGTTTGCTCAAACGACTGCGATATTTTTGTTTTTGTGTTTTTGTTGAAGTTTTTGTTTTATTTTGAAAGAACGGAGTTGTGAAGGGATACTGGTAGATTTACCCGAGCTAACAACATCATGCTTTCAATAAATATTAGATATTTCACTCGCATGTCTTTAATTATTTCTACAAGCATCTAAGTAAACTTTATGTTGCAATGCATTGTAGAGTCAGCATTTAAATTGCTATTGTTTCATATATTGGTATATCATTGTTCATATGACTTGTGCGGGAAAGTATGTATCAAGTGTTATATCAGTGTATGATATGGGTGGCAAATCTAGGTATTGTTAGATGATGTTCTGTATTCAATCAACGGATGGAATGATGAGAGTTGGTTTGGTTAAAGAACTAAGCATGATCGAATATTTATGCACAACGCTTGAATGAAGTCCACATCTCTTAGTGGGATATGGCTTGTTGTTGTAGTTTATCCCATGAGTATGAGGCTGCCAGCTGATTTAAGAGAAAGAAAGGCATCTTTTGAGTATGATTATAAGCAGTGGGCTGCGATTTGCTTGACAAAGATAATGCCACAATGGTGTTTGTTGGCGACAAAAGAGGAATTGGGCTACGGGCCTAAAAACCCTAACCCTAGTTAGCACTAGTCTGAAATTTAAATTTATTATGTAATCTAGTATCTAGGAAATTATTCTGTTTTCATCTTTATTATTATTTGAATTTGTATTTCCTAGGATCTAAGTCAATCACTAGGATTTCGGCCTATCACCCTCATCTATTAGGGTTTCTGTACTCTATTTATTTCGGCTACCTCATTTGAATAAACAATCAATTCAGAACCATTGCAGTTCTTCAGTGTTGAATATGGTTGGGAGACCTCAAATTTTGAAATGAAGCTTGAGCTAGGATTGTTGATTGGAGAAGCGATTTGCCTTACAGACAAAAATGAAAAGATAATTGAAGACCCTATGCATTTGCTTGAACCTGTTTGGGGCTTTGGATACTTCTATTAAAATTAGTTAAGCTTATGATTTTATTTGGTTTGATGGTCGCTAATTGGGTGATGATAAAGGGGGTCAGATCCTGTTGTCACATGCCCTGATAGACTGTCATTGACTGACACATTGGGCTGTGGCATTAATTTTCTTTCTTTTTCTCATATAGAGTAATTTTTTATGATGAGGAAAAAAAAATTGAAGCCATTTATTAACATAGTTTGTTAAGCATGCTGCTTGCCTCATGGAAAGCTTAGTGGGGCTAAACTTGCTGAAAGTACATTGCTGGTCCGAGTGTTGTCTGTCAACGCTTGCTGCAGGCCCTAGATTTTGCCAGCTTCTCCAAATCAAAGATCAGTATTTTCATATTAAGCTTCTGGGAAAGCCAAAACAGCTTAAGCCTAACATAATACTAAAGCTGGCAAAGATGCGGTGGATGAGACAAAATCATAAAAGCTAGACATCATTGTAGTCATGCAGTAGTGATATTTTTCATATGAATACACTATCTTTTCACATTAGCCTTTTTATGTGATGCGTATTCATCCCTTATATTTCGAGGCTAGAGGGGGAGAGGATTGCTGATTATTGTTCTTCATTTTAATCAACCTAGATGTCGTGGCATTTGTTTTCTAAAACCCCTTCTTTTCTTTTATTTTCTTGGTGATGAGGGGAAGGAGGAGTTATGCCTAGCCGGGTGGGCTTTTAGAAAGACGTCAGTCTCTCTCTCTCTCTCTCTCTGTTTTTTTTTGGGGGGGGGCTTTTTTCCCAAACTTTGTTTCATGTCTTCTGGTTGCTTGGTGCCATGAATTGATGAGAAGACGTTCAACAACCGAGTTAAACTTTTATCCCTGACCTTGTATTTGTAGTGGATGGTGGAGTCATTCCCCTTTAACCCAGACTAATGATTTATTTATTCTTCCAAACCTTTTGACTGTCATTTTTTCCTTTGGTTCCTTTCTCTTCCTGCTGTGCACTTCCTTTGGTTTCATGTTGAAGTTTTGCGTGGAACTTATGGTTGGACTATTTTTTCTTTGGCAGATGACAAATTCAAGAGGAACTGAACACGGTGAGTTACTGTTATAATATAGTTTGCATGTTGGTTGACCATTTGTTCGGTCAGTTATAACGTCTTTAGATCTGATACTCTGATTTTGTTTTTGACTAACTAATATATATTCACCAGATATGTTGACATGATTGATTGATGATTTGCTTGCTTTTGGAGGATTTATGCTCTTATATCAAGCCACAACTATTTTTTCAAACCGCAGTCAAGATGATAATAAATTCTTCTCAAGATGTTAAAAAGGTGTTACATGTTTAAACAAGGATGGTCCCATGCTTTATATCAATGATATGGATTGAAGGTTTTACTTTATATTCTCTTTATTTTTGCCTTGGCTCTTGAAGATTTTGCTGCTCTGCCTTTCCATTGATTAAAATTTGTATAGCTTCTGATGAAATGTCTGCTATTGTTGCAGGGATGATGAGAATGATTCAGTAGCAAAGATGAAGGCAGCTGAAGAGGCTTTGGAAGAGAAACAGAAGGTATGGTCTAGCCTGTTTGTGGGATTTGTTGCTTGCACTATTTAATTTAGCTAGTTGCAGCTCATTTGCATTTGTGAAAAAGAATGAAAAATAGAAAAGGGTGTAAAGCTGAAGAGTATATTAGATTCGTGTGCCCTTAAGTATTAAGAGCTTACAATGCTTAATTTTTTACCTGGACTAGATCCCTGAATTTATAAATAGGTTTAAACCTAGCATTAACTGACTTTTTGATTATTTATGCTGCATCAACTCAAGCAATTGGTAATTTCTAAGGGGAAAAATGGATATAATGGTGAGATGTTATAAGCTCCATCGATGACCTATGACAATTCTATTTATGGAAGGGATGTCCCCATAAAAATTGAAGCTAGGGGGTCTATGAATGTACGCATTAAAAACCTCAGGGAAGAGGAGTGTGAATTATTCAATTAAAAATAAAAAATAAACTACTGTATTTATACTTGCATTAACGCAGTAAATGTGTAGGCACGTGATATGAACTCAGATTATCTGTATTTTACTTAGTTATGTGGAGAAATTTTAAGATAAATCAACATGCTTAGGCAAATTAAAGGCTCTGAATAATTTTGTATTAATGAGAAGTTGGGGTTTTCAAATGTTCTATTTCTGCTGGTTTTTCTTAATCTTCGTTGCCATTTGCAGCATAAACCTTCGTTTGAGCTGTCTGGAAAGCTTGCTGCAGAAACCAACAGAGTCAGAGGTCAGATATCAACTTGTTTATACAATAAAATACTTCAACCATGCCTGAATATTCTATAATCTCCCCCTATATTTTAGATCCTACACAAAGATTCCTTGAATAGGGGAATTGTGTGAAAATCAGGAAAATAAGGAAGGTTTGTGTAGCTTTTCAAGAGAAGTTTACGTAGTTTTATAAAATAGAAGAGGCTTGACTTTTGTTTGCGTATGCATATAAATCTTTCAATTTCATTTTAGATTAATCTCTTTTCCAATTAATTGGTATGCTAAATAATATATTGTTTCAGGTGTTACAATTGTTATTTAATGAACCTCCAGAGGCTAGTCAAACCCTGATATAAAGTGGAGGCTTTATGTGTTCAAGGGTGGTGAAGTGCTAATGGTTAGTCTATATACTTCTGGCTTCCTGCTTATTTATCATAATCTTCATACTTCCCAATTGTCTTACACCGTACACTTCTCTTCTGTCCACCTTATCTTCTTTAAACGTGTAGCACTTTGCTTCATGAATAAGAGTAAGCTCTGCTTTCTTGGTCCTGAGTCCTGACTTTTCGTACTTGGTTCCGTGAATGCCGTACAAGTTATTACTTGATCATCAGAATTGTGAGTACTATGCGCATTTTATTTTTATTTTAATTCAATAGATGAGCGACTATTCTTGGCTAGATTACTTTGCTTTGTTCGCTGCTGATTTTCAAGTTTCTTCTGATTTAATAGTTGTACGTTTATTCCTTGTTTGATATTACCCTTGCACTTTTGTTGTTTCCGGTCCTGTTGTAACTATCATATCTTCATTTAATATGCTGTTTTGCCGGTTTTTCTTGCGTTGAAAACTGTTATATTTGAAATCTCTAATTCTTACTCTCAATGCAAAAAACTAGAATGAAAATCTCTCCACCAAAGACACCTTCTTATTTTGCTTACAAATTGCATATTATTTGCAGAGCCCCTTTACATACATCGACAAAGTTGGTATCTTTTTGGAAGGGAAAGAAGGGTTGCAGATGTCCCAACAGATCATCCTTCCTGCAGCAAGCAACATGCTGTTATCCAATTTAGGTATTCCATTAATTTAAGCAATTTATGATGTTATTTTAGTACATTCAAGGTTTTAATTGTACTTTGAATTTGGATTTGGTACAGCTTTGTACATGTAGAGAAGATAAGGGGTGCAGATGCTTCTAGCAAAAAGACAACTTTTAAAATTGGGGAACTCTATCTTAACCTCAACAAATCACTTGGGCTATTTCTAAGACATAGAAGCTCTGAAATTAACTAAAATGAAGGAGCCTTAATTACAAAATGAAATAAGATAACAACAATTTAATTAAAGCAGATGTGTAATAGCGTAATTTTCAACACTATTTGGGTACTCCTAACTTGGAGTTATCATTTTCTAGACCATGGAGTTATCATTAGCAAAGTGTTATTCCCAGGCTGCTGCCCATGACTACGTGTCTATCTTGTGTTGGGGAAGTTTCCTTATATCAGTGGTCATTGTTACAATCAACCTAGTCATCCATGTAATTCTCAACATGCCGAATTTTTATACCCGGCATCAACTTTTTCTTGGTTGGTTGGATATGATTATGTCCCCAACCCTTTTCACTTCCACCGCATTCTTCCGCTCTTCATCAATGATGATACTAGTCCCCTTTTGTCCGTTTACCAAAGTTTGAAATCTACAAGTTCCATAGGTTTTTCTCCAGCCCATTTAGTTTTAAGGTGTTAAATTTCTATTTCATAACTCTGACCACCTCCATATATTTTCAAGATATTGTCCCAATATTCCCAAGTACTAAATCTGATCTTGTTCTCATGGACTAACATGCAGTGGCTCTTGCTCATTTGTCACTATTCATGGACAATGAACTAGCATTAGCACTATGTTGTCATTGATCCATGTTCATAAGATATTCGATAGAGTTTTATAGTAGCTGTTAAGGGCTTAACACAACTCTCCTCTTTTATCTGGGATTATGATAGTTGGAGGTAAGTACTAGAAACAAACATTTCTTAATTGAAAAACCACAAAGAAAATGAAAACATCTTAATGTAGATCCATAATAGCATAATCTCCAGCATGGTTGTTGCCCTAATTGAATTTTTCTCAAGTTTCTTTGTTACTTGTGTTTTCAGGCAAGTCGAAAAGGAGCAACCTGATGGTATGATGTTGAAACAAATAAGGTAGCAATTTTCGTCCATTCCCTATCTAAGCTGTAATTTCAATTTCAGAAGAACCTGACATCCTCTTTGCTTCTCCGCTAGGCCTTACTTAATGGACCTCGGAAGCACCAACAAAACTTTCATTAATGTAAGTAGTAACTGAAGATACCAATGATCAGTTTCTTAATATTTTCATATGTTGTGGTAGGATGAAATACTGAAACTAGGTAATGTATGATTCCGTCTGAAGCTTGCTGCTCTTTTTGCAGGAGAGCCCCATTGAACCTCAACGTTATTATGAGCTACGTGAGAAGGACACAATTAGATTCGGCAACAGTAGGTAAGAAACAGATCTTGCTAGTTCCTGACTGCATTTGTTTTGATTGCATATAATTAGCTAGAACCCCCCCCCCCCCCCCAAAAAAAAATCACCACTTAATTTTTTGTTTTTCTTTTTATCGGCAGCCGAGAGTATGTGTTATTACATGAAAACTCTATTGGGTGATGAGCAGAGTCTTGGTCAAATCTTGCCCTTTCTGCTCATTGGAAGTGACAAACACTCCCATCAGCAGGTTATTTTGATCATGTTCATCTTCTGTGTATTTAATTTCTCTTGATAGATGCCATGTTGCTTGAATTTTGGTAATTTTTTCTGTAGAATACAACACCAAGATATCAAAAAAAAAAATATTGGCTGTAACACCTAGTGTATGCGCTTATGAATGTTAATGAGATGCGATTAGACTTTATTTTAATAAGACGATGGCATTGTTAATTTCAAAAGAGCTCTCTCTCTCTCTCTCTCTATATATATATATATATATATATATTGCTTTTAAAATATATTTCTCGTCACAAAAAGCAAAAAAATCTATTCCTCGCATTATAAAATTATATAAAATCCAAGTTTTTGACTCATTTCCCTTTTGCGCTGCTATTAGAAAAATCGTTCGCGCGCGAGTCTGTTATGAGGAGGATAAATTTTTACCGGTTTCGTAATTTGTTTTTCGACCCTTGTCTTGTCCCCTTCCGTAAAAAAAGGCTTTTACTGACTAATGAGCTGCATAATTTTTTTTCTCATTTTTTCACTGTCCTTTTCTTCATCTCACGCCTCAAAATATAGCAATTAACTTATTATGTTTGAAATTGATATATTTTGTTGACCTGCGAGTAATTAATTGAAATGATAAGCGGTCTTGTCAATATAACTCTGGATCTTGAGAAGCATATTTATTAGAAAATTTTAAATTTTAATACTCTTAATTTAATAGAGGTTAGTCTCAAATTTAAAATGAGTTGAGAATATTCTGAATTATATAAAAAAACATGACTTTGCTCATATTAAATGAGGTTGTAATGGGAAGAGAGAAAGGTATAGAGAGTCACATATAAATATGGAAAAATAATTTAAAAAAAAAGTTAAATTACTAAATACTAAATAAGGAATTTTTATAAAAATTTATTGTCATTTACAAATTTAATATTGTCAATATTAAGTAAATCTTATAATCAAACCTGATTTAGGATTTAATAAGTTTTAGCTTCTTTTTTTTGTCAGTTTCCCTATAAGTATTAATTGTAGGAGTAAAATTGATAAATAAGTATGATTTTTTAAATGTCTTATATTGTTGATCAAGAAATTTCTATGGAAGTGATTTATTTTTTGAATTGTAGTTGTAGCGTTGAACCGTAGGTTTTTTTTTTTTTTTTAACAACTCTTACCTTCAAAAAGGTTTTCTGTTCAATGTCAACGTGTCTATATTCAATAGGCTTTAATTAAATGCTAAAATTCTTCATGTATTTCATTGTGTTGTGTGGTTTATAGTTCTCTGTTTTATATTTGGATAATTGTTAAAGTTACTTTGCTAAGAAAAATATTCAATTTATATACAATTTATATTATTATACAATATATTATAATATAAAAAGTTTGATTAATCATCTGCTCTGACTTTACGGCTTTGCGCACGTGTTCTTCATCTTTTTTGGTGCAGACAAAATATGTCGTGGTCCGACAGCGACCACGCATTTTTGGATGACACACATTTTTGGAAATGATGCGAATATTTTGCTTATAACGTTAGTGGTTGTCTTTTTTAACTTTAAACAAACCTTTACAATTTATAATTATAATCTCCTAGTGTTATTTGTAGGAAGAAAGAGGTTTTTTTTTTACAGTTGGCAAAAAGAAAAAAAAAAATTTCCTACATTTTATTAAATTTATTAAGTGAATGTTCTATTTTATCCTTATATTTATTGTGATTGTCATTTGTTTAGGCTTTTAGTGTGTGTGTGTGTGTGTGAATATATTAAATTGTTATGAGGAGGATAAATTTTTACCGGTTTCGTAATTTGTTTTGCGACACTTCTTGTCTTGTCCTGTTCCATAAAAGAAGACTTTTACTGACTAATGAGCTGCATAATTTTTGCACAATATTTTTTTCTCATTTCTTTACTGTCCTTTTCTTCATCTCACACCTCAAAATATAGCAATTAATTTATTAAGTTTGTTTGAAATTGATATATTTTGTTGACCCCCAGGTAATTAATTGAAATGATAAGTGGTCTTGTCAATATAACTTTGAATCTTGAGCAGCATATTTATTAGAAAGATTTTAATTTTAACATTCTTAATTTAATACAGGTTAGTCTCAAGTTTAAAGTGCGTTGAGAATCCTTTGAATTATATCAAAAAAAAAAAAGACTTTGCTCATTAAATGAGGTTGTAATGGGAAGAGAGAAAAGCATAGCGTGTCACATATAAGTATGGAAAAATAATTAAAAAAAGTTAAAAATTACTAAATACTAAATAAGGAATTTTTATAAAAATTTATTGCACTTACAAATTTAATATTGTCAGTACTAAATAAAATCTTATAACCAAACCTGATTTAGGATTTAATTAGTTTTAGCTTTTTTTTTTGGGTCAGTTTCCCTATAAGTATTAATTGTAGGAGTAAAATTGATAAATAAGTATGATTTTTTAAATGTCTCATATTGTTGATCAAGAAATTTCTATGGAAGTGATTTGTTTTTTTGAATTGTAGTTGTAGCTTTGAACCGTAGGTTTTTTTTTTTTTTTTAGCAACTCTTACCTTCAAAAAGGTTTTCTGTTCAATGTCAACGTGTCTATATTCAATAGGCTTTAATTAAATGCTAAAATTCTTCATGTATTTCATTGTGTTGTGTGGTTTATAGTTCTCTGTTTTATATTTGGATAATTGTTAAAGTTACTTTGCTAAGAAAAAATTCAATTTATATTATTATACAATATATTATAATATAAAAAGTTTTATTAATCATCTGCTCTAACTTTGCGGCTTTGCGCACGTGTTCTTCGTCTTTTTTGGTGCAGACAAAATATGTCGTGGTCCGACAGCGACCACGCATTTTTGGATGACACATACGTTTTTGGAAATGACGCGAATATTTTGCTTACAATTTATAATTATACTCTCCTAGTGTTATTTGTAGGAAGAAAGAGATTTTTTTTTTCAGTTGGCAAAAAGAAAAAAGAAAAAATTTGCCGACATTTTATTAAGTTTATTAAGTGATTGTTCTATTTTATCCTTATATTTAGTGTGATTGTCATTTGTTTAGGCTTTTAGTGTGTGTGTGTGAATATATTAAATGTATATAAATTTAAAAAATTATTTTAAAGAAAATTTATTTTTTAAAGTTTTAGTAAAATATGTTGAAAATGTATTTTAAGTAGGAGAAAAATAATACTTGGGAAAATGATGGATCATTTTCAAAGGAGATAATCATAAGAGAACTCATCCGAATTTGAAAGAGCTATTTCAGTCTAAGATACAAAAAACCAGGCACTATTGCAATTGAAATTGACGGAGTATTAATTATCTATTATTAAGTTAAAGTTAGACGTTGAAATGGAGCTAAAAATAGAATCCTAAATTGTATTTTGACCAATTTAAAAGGAAGCATGAAACAGTCAACAAAACCTTGTAAATATAGACATCTGTCTCAGATTTAAACAATATTCCTCAATCTTTATTACAAACACTTTTTTAAATAGCACAATCACCGAATTATAAATGTAACTAACAAATTCATGATTAAAAGTTTGTTTCATATATAACTGGTTAAAATGGATTTAGATTCTCTCCCTCTCATTCTCCACCTACTTTCTATCTTATAATTATTAGATTAAAATTTAGGTGATGAAAATTTAATATTTTATAAAATATTTTTTATTACAATTTTAAACTGTAGCAGTTTCAATTTATTTATTTTTTATAATTTATCATTTTATTAATAATCTTATAAAATATATTAAATATGCGGTCCTCAAATATTTAACCTGACAATATTAGTGATTAATAATTTTATTAAGAAGTGGAGGGAATCTAAATCCGAGTAAAATGCATCATATCACTATCCTATCACAGGCCCTTTTTTTCCTGGTCAGGCAAATTTTTCAAAGAGAAAAAAAGGGATAAACTTTAGGCTAAAAATGGCAATGCCATAAATCGGGATTTTATTCATATAATTAAGATTAAGATTAGACTAAATATATTTTCCCTCTCAGACAATGAGACAAACTACATATAATCCGATGTCCGTCTGTTCAACTTCAATGTACTGAATGAAGAGTCCGTTTCCGGCCCCCCAAACCTCCCGTACGATGATGTGTTGAAACTTGCAACCACTCGATTTTCACTGCGATTCAAGGAAGAAAAGCCGACATTTGAGTCTATAAATTTTACTTCTTGCTCGTCTCATTTCTACATTCTCATAAACCCTTCATTTCTGATCAAATTTCTGCAATCAGAGCTCACACGGCCATGGCTGATCCCATTACAAGCTCTGCTACATGCAGAAACCATTTCGACTGTACAAGGATGATCCCAAAGGAGATGTTCCCTTGTTCGCATTTACCCTCAAACTTCCTCAAATTTACTCCTTGCCCTTCTTCATGGGTTACTCGAACTTCCCCTTCTGTCTCGTGTTCGCTCGTCAAAGAGCCTGCGTCTGTTCTCGCAGAAGACGGAAATGGGTCGATGGTATTGCAGCGACCCGATTCGTTTGGCCGATTCGGTAAATTTGGCGGCAAGTACGTCCCTGAGACTCTAATGTATGCGCTCAGCGAGCTTGAGGCCGCGTTTCATTCTCTTTCTGCTGATGAAGATTTTCAGGTTTTTCCATCAATATCACTGGATTTAATTGCATGTATAGGTTTGATTTTTCCATTTTTCACACACCAGTTCGGTGAGGTAGAGTAATGAATCGATGATCATCGCTTTGGTAATTGGTATTTTGATGCATTTTATTTGAAATTAGGTCGCACTTTCACATGTCATTCTATCTGTTAATCTTCTTTGTCCTGTGTTACTATCAACTTCTGGTATTTTAGATAAAGATGTTTACTTTCGTCTATGCTGTTGCTGAGAGATACAGAACACGTTATTTGAAAAAGAATTGGTTGATCAGCGCACTCTAGAAGTAGTTTTCTAAACGCTAGAACCACTTTTGAAGATATATATTTTTGTTACCATTACAATATTACGTTAAGAATCTCTCACTCTCCCTCTCACACACGCGCGCGCGCGCGCACAAACAGAGCCAGAAACAACAATTCTTTAGCTCCTTGTTATCCCTACACAAACACACAATTAGAAACGTAATTATCTGAAATAAATGATGGAAATCTCTCTGAGATACATATTTGAAATTGCAGAGAGAACTTGGTGGGATTTTGAAAGACTATGTGGGGAGAGAGAATCCTCTTTATTTTGCAGAGAGGTTGACAGAGCATTATAAGCGT